AGTCCCACATCGGGCTCCCTGCTCAGCGGGGAGCCTGCTTCTCCCTCTCCCTCTGCGTGCCTCTCTGCCTACTTGTTCTCTCTCTATGTCAAATAAATAAATAAAAAATCTTAAAAAAAATTTTTGATTTCTAGTTTTACTCTGTTAGTTTTGTTTTATTCCAAGGTCATGGACAATATGACATTGATGAAGAGAAGAGCTAGGTGGGAGACTGGACAATTCAGTGAAAATCCATCAAAGTCTACCAAAACCCTAGACAAACCTGAAATATCTGCCCATTCAGTACAGGGTCAGAACTGCTCCCTTTTTCATGTGAAAAATAGCAGTCCTGTAGAAGGGGTGTTCTTGTGGTCTGTGAAGGGATGTTAAGTGTTCATGAACTTGAAATAAAATGTAAGATTTATTGTATATGTGGTTTTTCTAGGGTTAGTCTCCAAAACTTATTTTCATCAGGATCTCAACAGGGTCTATGTCTTCCCAAAAGTTAAGAATTTAAACTTGTGAAGAACCTCATTATGGTTTCCATAAGCTCTTAAAACACAAGTATAAAAAGCAAAAGCCATACATTAATATGATTAGTGTGTGAAGCAAGGGGTATTCCTAAGAATTTGCTCTTAGCAGACCATGTTCAATTGATAGAAGACAAACCATTCTTTTCTGAGCAGTTTATCAGGTTCAGAAACCTGAATCATACATTATTCAGAATGTCAGTGCCTGCCCATTATCTGAAGATAGTATTTATGTTTGCTAATATAAGGCACTTGTGTAGTACAGTCCAGAGAGTTGGTGTTGTTGTAACATACAGATTTAAGTGTATGTTTTCCATTTATTTGAAATAAAGAGGTAGAGGGGAAATATAGGAGAGGCATTTTGTAATTGATGTAAGTATCAATAGTAAATATTTTTACCATTAAAAAAGAAGAAGTAATTTTTACAGGATTAAGTTCAAATTCTCAAACTTGGAAGTAAAGCCCACCATGGTTTGGCTCCAGTTTAGTTTTCTAACTTTACATTATAATCACTCCTTTTTATAAACCCAACTTCCTCTTCTAGCCCAACCAGTCTGACCTCTGTCCCTTGAATTCTCTCGTTTTTCCTAGTTTCTTGGCTCAGACCATTCTGTCTGCCTGAAACAACTTCTCTAACCAAGTCCTATACATCCATTAAGACTGTTAGGAGGAGTGCAGGTGAGAGATGATGAAAGCCTGGTATGTCCGTGAAAATGGAGAGCCAGGATAGAGGGTGCAGAGGTTAAAACATGCAGAATCATAGGCTTGGTTATTGGATGGTTTGGAAGGGGGATGAAGGATAGAGAGGAACGTATCCTATGACATCTTGGGCTTGTTGGGTAGATAATAGTGCAGAATCATTGAAATGGAGGATAGAGGTAACATAACTTACCCCAGGTCATTCTGCTCCTGAGAAGTAGAGGCAGAACTGGAGCCCAGTGGTCTGGCTCAGAGTCTGTTTAATTAGTCATGATACTAGATTGCCTCTAAAGGAATGGGGAGATGTGCTCTTTGATCTCCAGAATTCTAATTGGGGAGTTAACATATTTACATAAACAAATAACAGTGACTATGAGAACTAATGAATTAATAATATATGCAGTGCCCTTATGGAAGCTGTTATATAGAAATGGAAATTAATAGGGCGCCTGGGTGGCTCACTTGGTTAAGTGACTGCCTTCGGCTCAGGTCATGATCCTGGAGTCCCTGGATCGAGTCCCGCATCGGGCTCC